CAAGAATCCCGTAGAAAAAATGGTGTGGCCTTTATAGTCAGCAAGAGAGTGAGAAAGGCAGTAATGGGATACAATCTCAAAAATGACAGAATGATCTTGGTCCGAATTCAAGGCAAACCATTCAACATCACAGTAATCCAAGTCTATGCCCCAACCACTGACGCAGAAGAGGCTGAAGTGGACCAGTTCTATGAAGGCCTACAACACCTCCTAGAGCTAACACCAAAAAAAAAATGTCCTCATCATCATAGGGGACTGGAATGCTAAAGTAGGAAGTCAAAAGGTAACCAGAATAACGGACAAGTTTGGACTTGGAGAACAAAATGAAGCCGGGCAAAGGCTAACAGAGTTTTGTCAAGCGAACCCACTGGTCATAGCGAACACCCTTTTCCAGCAACCTAAAAGTCGGCCCTACACATGGACATCACCAGATGTGCAACACCGAATTCCAATTGATTATATCATTCGCAGTCAAAGATGGAGAAGCTCTATCCAGTCAGTAAAAACAAGACCTGGAGCTGACTGTGGCTCAGATCATGAGCCACTCATTGCAAAATTCAGGCTTAAACTGAAGAAAGTTGGGGAAACCACTAGGCCATTCCGGTTTGACCTAGATCACAGTGGAATATACAGTGGAAGTGAAGAATAGGTTTAAGGGACTAGATTTTAATCCAATCTCAGCTATACTTATCGGCCAGTTATGCATCTTGGCTTTAGCTAGCCCTTCCTGGCAACTAACACCCCCCCCATATGTAAGGCTTGAGGAAAACTGTTTCATTGTATCTGATGAAGTGTGCAAGCACACAGAAGCTTATATCCAGAATTAAACTTCGTTGGTCTGAAGGGTGCCACTGGATGCAAACATTGTTCTGTTGCTTTGGACCAGCACAGCTGCCCCACCTGAAACAATATATTTAGCTATTCATTTCTATTCTGCCTTTCTTAAGGTGGATTACAAAAACTAATAACCAACAATGACTACAATAAAAATCAATAATGAACTTTGAGCAAACATTAAAAGCACAAAAGTATCCCGTCGTTAAGTGCCCTCCTGCTGCATGGTGCTACTGTACAAGCCTTCATGACTTCCACCAGGTGGAGCCATCAGAGAGAACATTTGGGTGAGGACAGCCACCAGTCTTGTCTGGTTGCCCCGTAGTACCTTGTTCACATGAGCAAAGCTGTCATGGAGCACCTCTGAATGTATTCCAGCATTGAATATATTGCATTCTGTATGAATACAGGTGTCTGCAGAGGACACAGGAATGATTTATTTGTTGTAAGGGTGAAAAGAATACCATATTTTGATCCATGCAGCTAGGTAGACATGGGTACTTTTTGCACTTTGTTGTTTGGTGCTACATTCAGAAGGTGGTCCTTCTTAAGGATAATGGACTGGATTCAATCTAAATTTTTGCATGGGAGCATGATGTCTCCCACTGCAGCCTGCAGTGCTGGCCTGAGGACACAGGGGACCCCCCCCCCAGGAGTAACAGGGGGCGGAGCTGAAGGGCTACTGTGGCAGGAAAGAATAAGGAAAAATCACACACACCCCATGCACATTTGTAGATCTTTCCAGTGGGTACAGTCCTTTGAGTGGGTACAATCTGGTGGGCACAAACAGATTTCTTTGTTGAATGGTATACTCTGAATTATGTATAGCAACAATTAATATGTGGCTGTTACCTTACTGGGATGTGTGGTTACCAGTCAGGAGAATTAGTGCTGGCATTTGGCACATGGTCTGATCCCTGAACAGCCCTGCAAAAGACGGGTTTCCATCAGAGCTGAACTTGGTTAACGTGCCGGTTAGGAGATTAAGATGAGCCTCAATGTGCACTGTCAGAATTCCATTGCAACAAATCCCATTTTGCCTTACATTTATTTTGTGCTTTTGTATGCTGTGTTTTGCCCAAAAATGCCTGGAAGGCAATGAATAATACAACCCAAACCTTTCAATAATTAACATTTGTAAAAAAAAAAAAAAAAGTTGATTAAAAAAACAGATACATTAGAACAGGAGCCATTGCACAACCAGTCAATTCAGCTCGAAGGCTTTCCAGAACAAAAATGTCTAACTTAGTCCAGAAGGTCTGTAAACCAGTTCTAGTCTCTCTTCAAGAGGGAGGGAGCCAGAGTTTGGGGGTGTTAGGGTAGGAAGGGGGAAATGGTGCCTTTAGCAGGTTCCTCAAAGCACATGTAGAGTTCCTTGTGGTAACGAAGTTGAAGCGGTCGGTCATTAGCTCCTACTCAACCTTCTGTGAACCCAGTTTCCACTGAAAACTGAAGACAAGGGAAAATCCAAAATGTCCAGATATTTATAGTGAATGGAATTGGACCTATGCCAGTCTCCTTTCTAAGAATGTCATACGGATTTCTCCAGTCCCACGCAAATCCATGTTTCTGATGTCAGAGGCTACTTTTACCAGTTGGAACCATATAAGATGTAGTCCCACCTCCTTCAAGCACCGCTAATGAGACTGAACTTCCATGTCAAATAGATGGTCTGGTTCAAACTGGATTGTCCTTTGTCCAAAAGGAACTAAGTCTGCCAGTGTGGAATGAAAATGAATGGCTCATTCTAATGGAATCTCGGTGGGTCCAAGATCCCTTATTGTAACAGGGGCAGCAGCTGAAAAGGCTTTCCCACGCGTCCTCTTGGTCTCACTTCAGGTCAGTTTCATAGGAAGGCATCTCTGATTCTCTGTGCTGGGGCAGGTTGGTATAGGTGGAGGTGGTCTGCCGGGTATTTTGGACCCAAGCCATAAAGGGCTTTAAAGAACAAGGCCTACTCCTTGAACTAAGTCTGGAAATAAAGTGACAATTAATGCAGCTAGTAAGTTCTGGCAGGATGTGCATCCAAGTCCTGACAGTACACTTTGGCGCATGTAGGAAAGCCCATGTAGGAAAGCCTGTGAGCTGGTGAGCGCAGCGGAAAAGACTGACTGCCGTTTAGTGCAGTTCCATAGGTTGATTCAGTATTATAGATCCAAAATGTGAGTCCCAGAGTAATAGTAATTTGAATTTTAACTGTGATATTTCAGTTTGCGTGTTGCATCTGTGCACTGTGGCGACCACACACCCTGGCCATCTGGTTCAGCTTGTGGCTGTGCTAAGAAACTTGGTGGGAATATTTGTAACACTTCCTCCCAGGTATTGCTAGTATATGCCAGGTTGTCCGTTCGTCCAAGGTGCAATTGTTGCCTTTCTGGTTATTGACCCCCTATTCAGCTGCGGTGGCTCAAGTGGTTAAGACGCCGAACTGCAGGCTGTGAAAGGTCAGTAGTTCAGCAGTTCGAGACCCGAGTGTGCCGCATGATGGAGTGAGCTCCCGTCTCTAGTTCCAGCTCCTGCCAAACTAGCAGTTCGAAAGCAAGAAATTGCAAGTAGATAAATAGGTACCACTTCGGTGGGAAGGTAACAGCGTTCCGTGCGCCTTGGTGTTTAGTCATGCCAGCCACATGACCACGGAAACGTCTTCGGACAGCGCTGGCTCTTCGGCTTTGAAACGGAGATGAGCACCGCAACCCTAGAGTCAGACTCGACTGGCTTTCGAGCAAGGGAACCTTTACCTATTCAGCATTAGGACGTTATGTCCCACTGCTTTGCTGATATATGTAGAGTTCCCTTAGCTGAGAGAAGGATCAGAAGGGGGGCAAGTCTTAAGTCTCTTCCCCTTACCTGACCCATCCAGTTCTCACCAGCATACCTCCTTCTGCCTGAGACTATGAGAATCCCTCAGGAAAGAGGTGCCCTCTTGAGTCACTATCCTCCTCCTATTCCAAAATAGGTTGTACCTGCTAGACTAAATCAGCAGCCCCATCACAGGTAGACAATTACAGGGCAAAAGTAAAATTATCTTTAAGTTGCCCAAAAGAATGGAAGGGAGCTAGAAGTTTGGCAAGTAACATTTTTTATGTATTAATATCAGAATCAAAAGAATTCTTCAAAGCCATTGCTAAAAGGGCACTCAGAAGTCTACTTATGGAAATGGAAGCCTTCGAAAGCTGAATGGTTCACTGAGGAACTTAACCATGTCTGCTGGCTCTCTGAGGGAGGAAAATGTTCAAGCCTCAGATTTTATGTCTAGTGAGGGCTGCTCTCTCCTTCCCCCAGTAGTGTTGGGGAGAGCTGGGTAGCAAAACGTCTTGTTGGTCTTCTAGATGTTCTGGTTTATGCCATGGGTGTTGTGGTGGCTCACAGAAATGCCAAAGCCCCAGTAATTATTGGGACCAAGGGGCAGGGTCCCTCCCTCAAAAAAAAACCTCACTGCTTTTACTGGCACCTGCTTTCTCTGAAGAAGTGTGTGTGTGCACATGAAAGCTGATACCCAGAATAAAACTTTGTTGGTATTAAAGGGGCCACAGGGACTCTAACTTTGTTCTGCTGCTTCAGACCAACATGGCGACCAGTGTTCCCTCTAAGCTGCGGCGTCTTGTGAGCAGAAATTCTACTTTGTGAGCTACCAGCATTAAAGTTGTGAGCGAGTGATTTGGCTGCTGCATAAATGAGTGTGCTCTGGAGCCATCCTTCCTGAGCTAGGACAAAAATGTGTGAGCCGGGGGCTAAGAAATTGTGAGCTAGCTCACACTAACTCATCTTAGAGGGAACACTGATGGCGACCCACCTGAATTTATTTTTATTAATTACGACAGAAACTGTAAGAAAATGCTAAACACTACATTGAATTTTCAATTCAATTCAATTTATTACAGGTCTATATGACCAAAGTCTTGACCAAGAAGATACCAAAGGGGGATAAAATAGGTACATAAAATAGACATAAATGTGTCAAGGTATATAATCACAGTCACATAAAACCCAGGCTGAGCCCAGAGATTAAAAATTACCTAACTACACTTGGGGCAGAGGCAACTGACTAAAATCATCCGAAGATTAAAAGTCGGTGTCGAAGTTTTCAGAAGTGCTGGAATTTTCAACACAATGAATTTTCTAGGTGCCATAGCTAAATGAGAGAGAAGATTTTATTGTATTTAGCCATAGGCCATTACAAACCACAGACAGAGAAGAGCACAATAAAACACAAAAATTGTATAAAATAAGATACAGTGCAACATTATAAATCCATAGCTGCTACATGGAACCTGGGGTTTGACAAGCCTTGTCTTATGGGATGCAAAAAGGCTGATACCGTGATCTGAGATAATTTGAACTCCCCCACCCAATATCTAGCCCAATAAAGAGTTCTGGAGAACTCCCAAGGTTGCACATGGTTCCATGTCATATTGGTTTTGTTCTGATAAAAGGAATTACATGACTTGTTTTTAAAGGTCAAAATGTTCACCTGGAGTTTCTGCTGGTAGGGGGGTTGTTGTTGCTCTTTTGTCATTGTCCGTCTTCTGATTTGGTTATAGTATATTTTGGAATTGATTTACTTTTTCATTGTATTTTAAACACACTGTAAGTTGCCTGGAGAGTGCGAGGCAGCTGTAAATGTTTCAGTTAGTTGAGAAGCAAGTCGTCCCCCCCCCCCTTTCTCTCAGTTCATTAGAATTTCTTCTGGGGAGACAGGTGATACAGCATCTTAAATAATGTTTAATAATAGTATATATGTAATGTTAATGTACAAGGCAAATGTGATAAAATGAAATTTTAACATGTGGCTGTGTTCTCTTTAGCCCGTAGCATTCAACGTACAGTGTCAAGACAAGCTCACCATAAATATGAACCTGATTTTCATGACAAATATGGCAACATCATTCTGCTTGGTGGAGCTGTGCTTTGTGCTTCTGTTTGGACTTATGTAAGTTATTTCAGCTCTCCAGTTATTCCCTACCCACTGCAAATAATAATTACTTCTGGGTCTGTTTCATAGGCTGCCTTGGTATATATTAGTACCAGGTTCAATGACTGCAGACATAAGCAAACTGGATTATTAAGAAAATACTTATTTGAAATGTGCTTCATCACAGTTCATCAATCAAGAGCTATCTAATAATATATGCAACAATTCTGTGGTTGTCAGTATTCGAAAACACAATTGTGCTTGATTGGTGATTCTTTCCTGTTTTGTAATTTATAGGCCATAACACAAATTGGGATTGTGTGGAATTTGTCTCCTGTTGGACGAGTGACCCCAAAGGACTGGAGAGAGAAATAGAAATGTCTTCATATATCTGTCTTTGAAATATTGGGAGCAACCATGAACTGGTCTGAATTTTCATTGGAACACACTTCTGCCAGGCCTGTAATAGCACAGTTCATTGTATTGCCACCTGAGATGTAATAAATATATTTAAAACAATGTTTGTTCATTCAGATTTATTTTTCCTTTTATAGTTTTACATTGAAGTGCAACACAAACTGCTAACCTAGTTTTTTGATACCACATTCTCTCAGTAATTTCTTTGAAAGCTAAAAAGGACTGTGTACCTCATACTGCTTCTTAATTTATTAGTTCTAAGAAATTACTCAAATATAGAAAAAGCTGGACCCCATTTGAATGGCTACGAAAATGTATCACAGATGCATAACATTTCGCAGCTAAAAGAGGGACAGGTCTGCTATTATCTTCGAATAAAAGGTGATGTCTCTATATAGTCTATATTTTGGAGCAAAGGAAGAATTAAAAGATTTCTAGGCTCAGAAAAATAATTACATTCAAAGTTCACATCATGATACAGGGTGTCTACACTACCTGCACCACACTCATTCCATCAGAGTATGTTAATGGTATCTTATGTTATCTTACAAACTTTAGATGGTAAAACATTAAGGTGTGCCAACATAAAGACACACCCATAGCAAGGAACAGTCAAGTATGAGCAGTAATTGGGAAGCTCTCCAGGTGGAAGAATTCCAGCAAGCCTGAGCTTCAAGAGATGGTTGTCCCAATTCAGCTCGAAGAGTCACCCCTGAAAACTAAAAACCAAATGAAAATTAAATGTGAAATGTTATACCACTACGTTCTCTTTGGATTTTATGGAGTTCATTCTCACCCAATGGTATCCCCTAGCAATCGAAGTTACACTTTAATGTATGTACACATCAAACTTTGAAATTCAAGGGAAATTGTTGTGGCATAAAGATGTATTGTACTTGAAAGTAATCAAAATTGGACCAGAAGTTCCCCCCAGTTGTATATTGGTGTTTGGAAGAGATAAAAGAACAGCCATGTTTGCTGGAGTCTGGACTGAGCTCCTTAGGGGAGGAGGAGAGGGGTATAAATGTAAGAGAGCAGGACCTTTATAGAAATGCAAGAGTACTCAGTATCTTGCCACAACTGAACTTTACATTGCATCAGTCTATGTTTTTGCTATTTTTAATCTTAAGTTTGTCAGTGTCAGTTTTTACAAATGCAAAAAAACCCATTTTTGAGTCTAAATAGGATGATCTTGATTTTCTATTTAGCATTTTTTCTATTGCCATGTTTTGTATGGTATGAAGCCACTTGCCTAATGACATACATAGGAAGTACGTTTACAGGAATGTGCATATTGGTGTGAATGTCAAGTCAAGTCACCTATAGCCGTAGCTGACTTCATTTCTTGGTAAATTGTCATTTTGATGTTTGGTAACATGTAGGTTTCCGTACCCTGACCTGGATGGTCCAGGCTAGCCTGACCATCAGATCTCAGAAGCTAAGCAGGGTCAGCCCTGGTTAGTGTTTGGTTGGGAGACCACCAAGGAATTCTAGGGTCACTATGCAGAGCCGGGCAATGGGAAACCACCACTGAATGTCTCTTGCCTTGGAAGCCCCATGGAGTTACTGTAAGTGGGTTGCAACTTGACAGCACTTTAAGCACACACCGAGGATGTCCTACACAGATGCCTCTGCTGTCGCTAGGCTCCTGTTTCGTTTATCTAACAGCTGTGTAAAATGGCACTATGATACGAATAACTTGCTTTCACATGGAATGTGAGTGTGACCAGCCAAAACGTCACACTGGCAACCTGATTCAATCATGCTAAGTCCAGGAGTAGGCGACTGCCACTGTGGTCTGTCGGTTGTTTTTCCTAGTCGAGGAAACAAGTATAAGAACATAAGAGAAGCCAATGTTGGATCAGGCCAATGGCCCATCCAGTCCAACACTCTGTCACACAGTGGCCAAAAATACCAGGTGATATCAGGAGGTCCAACAGTGGGGCTAGGACACTAGGAGCCCTCCCACTGTTGCTCCCCCAAGCACCAAGAATACAGCGCATCACTTGCCCAGAGTCCCTATCTATACCTTGTGGCTAATAGCCACCGATGGACCTCTGCTCCATATGCTTATCTAATTCCTTCTTGAAGCCGTCCATGCTTGCAGCTGCCACCACCTTCTGTGGCCATTCCATGTGTTAATCACTCTTTGGGTGAAGAAGTACTTCCTTTTATCCGTTCTAACCCAACCGCTCAGCAATTTCATGGAGTGCCCACGAGTTCTTGTATGGTGAGAAAGGGAGAAAAGTACCTCTTTCTCTACCTTCTCTATCCCATGCATAATCTTATAAATATCAATCATGTCACCCCTCAGCCGTCGTTTCTCCAAACTAAAGAGTCCCAAGTGCTTTAACATTTCTTCATAGGGAAAGTGTTCCAGCCCTTTTATCATTCTAGTTGCCCTTTTCTGCACTTTTCCCAAAGTGTCAGAAAAGCTATTTATCTTACCAAAAAGTACTGGAGTCAGACGTCTGATGAAGCAGAATTATCTTTTATTGATATACTCTTGCAAGAGGGTGCATAGCAACAAAGCAAGCACACCCAACTCTTTGAAAACACAAGCCTTTATACTACTTTCTAACACTGTCGTATGGAAATTAAGAAAAATCCCTCCCACTGACAGCCAGGGGTACTTAAAGAAGTCACATGCTTCTCCCATCCCTCCCCATACCTATCTTAGCATTTTCTAAGACCACCCTCTCTTTGTAAGTTTGCTTAGTCCAGACTTTCTATATTAACATTTCTTCATAACACAGTACAAGTTTCGCTTCTTAAGCAATTTTGTCCATCTCATGGGGTAAATTTGCAGTCGTCAGCTTCCTGTCAACAGGTCCCAGACAACAAGATGTCCATTCTTACCTCATATCTCAAACCACAGTCTGACCTTAGAAGGCCGCTTTCTCCCATAAGGGACTTCCTCCTTTTTATGCATGTTCAGCACTTAAGCTAGAGATGTAGAAATAAGTCAAGAAAGTTAATCACACATTTCTAGTTTATATTTATTCATTCTTTTGATTAACCCAAGCATTTCACACCCTTATTGTTTCTCTTCTCCATACAAATATGCAGGTTTTTTGTAGGAAAAGTCCAGCAGGAACTCATTAGCATAATAGGCCACACCCAGCAGCATAAATCCATTAGCATATTAGGCCACACCCCCTGACTGCACTACTCATTAGCATATTAGGCCGCATTCCCATGTTGCCAGAAGTGTGGTAATCCAGCCCCACCCACCTTTTGCTTCTTATTCCGTTTACCTTGTTTGTTGTCCAAACCCAGGGCTTTTTTGTGGCAGGAACTCCTTTGCATCTTAGGCCACACACCCCTAATGTAGCCAATCCTAATGAGTTTCTGCTGTTGGGTGTGGCCTCTATTATGCTAATGAGTTCCTGCTGGGTGTGGCCAACTTGGGAGCCAGCCAGAACTCCGTTCCTGCCCCAAAATAGCCCTGCAAATATGCATCTGGTATTTTCACTAAAAGCTAGGTACTCTTGGTGCCATGCATGACCAGGCTGATGTTTATTTTAGACTTCTGCTTTTTGTCCTAGTATCTGCCTAATATAATTCTGCGGTTAGCTGTTGTAAAATATATCTCTTTTAGAAGAAGAAGAGAAGAGATTGGATTTATACCCCGCCCTTCACTACCCAAAGGTGTCTCAGAGTGGCTTACAAACTCCTTCCCCTTCCCCTCCCCACAACAGACACCCTGTGAGGTAGGTGGGGCTGAGAGAGCTCTTGACAGAAACGGCTCTTTTTCAAGGACAGCTCTTATCAGAACTATGGCTTGCCCAAGGTCATCCAGCAGGTGCAAGTGGAGGAGGAGTGGGGAATCAAACCCGGTTCTCCCAGATTAGAGTCCGCACACGTAACCACTACACCAAACTTTAGATTGCTGATGCTTGGAATGTCTGCTTTCGTTCTTAGCATGATCCTCTCTTGCAAAAAGAAACAGGGCATAGGTCTGCAAGCTTATCTTAATGCTTAGACGTATATTGATTATAACATCAGTAAATATTCCTGTCCAAACCCGTAATTCTTATTTCTCACAGGAGGGACCTCAGCAAGGTATAATGCCATAGAGTCCACCCTCCAAAGCAGCCATTTCCGCCAGGGGAACTGATCGTGGTCGCTTGGAGAACAACTGTAATATTGGGCAATCTCCAGGTACCACCTGGAGGTTGGCAACCCCAGCAACTGTTCACTTTGACAGGAACACCATGGCAGCTTCCAGCTTTAATAGACTTGTGCAGGCCTCGGTTCCTGCCGGACTGTACCGGAACTCCGCTCCACCAGTCAGGAGCCCAGGGGGCGGGCACATAAGCCCCGCCCCCTGCTCTCACCAGCCATTAGTTGGGACACAGTGGGGGCCCCGAAATGTTCCCCCGCCTCCCTGAGCCCAGGGGTGGTCGCCTTGGACTCATAGGAGCAAATTCCATCTCTTGCGCAAGAGGTCATTCTGGCTCCCCCAGCTCTCCTTCGGGGCTCTTTACAAAGTTTTGGCTGCTGCTGCTATTCTCAGCGGCAGCTGTGACACCCGCGTGGGGGGGGCAAAACGTTCTCCTGCCTCCCTGAGCCCCGGGGTGGTGGCCTTGGACTCATAGGGGCAAATTCCACCTCTCTCGCGAGGCCGGCCCCGTCTTCTTGCCCCGCGGGGAGGGGGTCTCCTCCCTCCTCGCAGCTGCCGGCCCGGGGAGGGGGGTCCCGCCTGCCTGCCTGCCTGCCGTGCTGGCTGGACGCAGTTTGAGCCGGGTGGTGCCTTCGGGACCCACGAGGTGTGATGCTGGACTCAGACTCTTGTCTCGCTGTCGCGGTGCTTCCTGCTCCTTTTCTCGCCTGCCTCCTTGTTGAAACTATCCCAGCCTCGCGCACTTCGAATGCTGCCACGGCCACTTCTTCTTCTTCTGAAATCCCTGGGATAGGCTTGATTTCTTATCAGAAAGTATGTATATAGCCTTTCAAGTTTGTGGTTATGTTGAAAAGTGTCGCTTAAAATACTTAAAATGCAGCATAGGTTAAGACTGAGAAGTCAGAAGAACTGAAGAGATAGGAGAAAGGGAAAAAGCTTTTATTGTAGATTATTAAAGCAATTAAAAATGTATATG